AACAAGTGAGAGATATTGAGGAAAAGCAAAAATTCATATGTCCTCCGTCTGTGCTCATGCAAGGGTAGGGAGGTGTTCCACGCAAAATGTCTCCGTTTGAATGCTAGAGATTGGCGCGGTTTAGTGTGCTCCCACTCCCACCGTATAGTCACGCCCCTGCTAATGATAGGGCGCGTGAGAGCATGATACGGAGCAGGGGGAAGGCGGATCTCTCACCATGATGAGGCAGCAAGTTGGTAGGGAAAGCTACCCTGGCTGCGTTCAAGTTCACCCCCCTTCTCACGCCCTATCTTTTGCAGGGATCATTGCTGTAGAAACGACGAGCTGCGTTCTCCAAAGCAGAAAATTAGGCTGTATGGCTGTCTTCATAGATTTCAGCCACTGTTACTTTCAAGCCCTCACCCTTGGCTTCTATTTGTCCTGATAGAGCATCTCCAATTTCAAATTTTGTGCTTTTGAGGAGCCAGGTTCTACTCAACGAGTGCCGAGTTCTTTCAATTCTCAAAGTTGTGATCTTTCAGTGCTAGCATGTCAACCTCCAATAGGAGCACCTCAGGCACCTCTCACTACACCTCTCGCAAGTGGAGTTAGCTCTCAATTCGACCAACAATCGCAAATAGCCTACCTTCCAGAAAGTCAGAGTAAGTTCCTCCTTACAGTAAACCCCACTGTGCGCCCCTTAGGATGTTTCTGCTCATTTTATGAGCTGGCACTCCGTTAGTACAAGGAGGCCACCTGCCTTGGACCTACTGTGTTCCTTGATTAAAACCAATACGTACAAATCAACTTGCTATCTATTCCTTACACTTGACTGGTCCCAAAGCACAAATGAGAGAAGCGGCCTCGCTTCCCTTTAGAAAGTTCTGAAAGTTCGTCAAAAATTTTTCTCATGAGCTGACGCAGTACTCCAAGGGAGACTATGTTGGTAACTGTCACAACTTCTCTTCCCGCTTCCGTCTGTACGGCTGCGTTGAACAGCACTGTAACTGGATATGGAGTGGGTGCCTCTAGATGAATCACTCCTGAGAGCGCCAGCGGCTAGATCCCCCAGAAAGGGCAGAACCGATCGCCGCAATCTATCAATGTAGGGCAGTGAGGCTGTGCGTGTGGTGGGTACCATTTCTCGCTCTTAAAATTGAGGAATTCCTTCCTTATTGCTTGTGGTAACTCAGGAGCCCTATTGTAATCAATCTGCAAAGCTGGGGGGAAATCTCTGCCATTATGGTCCCAAAACCGAGCAATGTTTGCCTACTCCACCACAGCTCAGGGTCACACATTTGGAAAACGACACTGCTCGAGATCCCGAAGCTTAGCTGGGGAATTCCACCACAGTCTTCGTGTAGCCCTGACTTAGCTCTTTCCGATCGCCATCTAAACTAATCCCAACAGCGGCCATCTTCTTGGTAAAAAATACGATTTTTGATAGTACCTCAAAAATGACCCAGCTGCCTTTCTGGGCACAGAACTAAGAGGCTTCTGGAAGCAGGGCAACCACACATTGCGTAGTGATTGGCAACAAGTTGCCAATGAAGGTGACATATATATAAATTGCGTCAAAAAACAGCTTACCCACTGGAATAAACTTAAGAATAAGTTTGAAAGTGTACACGAAGTTTTGGGACAACCTAATATAAGAGGAGAGTCGACAAGGGAGAACACGGCAGTCGACGAGCTGCCAGTCCATAAATGAAGACGAACCTTTTGGGCTCCCGATACTCGCTGTGTATGGAACCTTCTCAAAACTGATTCAAAAACGTGAGAAAGTATAAGAGAATCCTTACGAAAATTCGCGCGATGATAGTTGAGTATTGCAGATCATGTCAGCATCACAGTAGCAACCGTTTGCCAGGCTTGCTGCTCCGCCACACATAGCAAGTCCGCATTAGCGCTGGACTCATTTCAGATTCTGTCATAGCCATGGTTACCTCTCGTACTATATTTATTTCAGAACCGAGGGAGAACACGCGACCACTTCAGCCAATCAGTGTAGGACTCGAACACACTAATTCGATAGCTGAACCGACTTTATTGCAACAAGAACAAGGTTTTACTCCATATCCAGGTTACATTCCACCTCCACCTGCACCCGCTTCAATGTCCGGCCTTCCCACTCTACAGGGAAGCGCAGCAATGGTAAGACTGGTAACAACATTTTTGAAAGCATTTGGTCGGTCGATTGTTAAACAGAACTTGGAAAATTGCTCTCCAAAACCTCCTATTGTATTCGAGAGACCTAAAAGTAGAGAAAAGGTAGCTTCCAGAAAAGAGAGGGCTGATCCGGGGGCCGTTTGGATGTGTTTGAAAAACGTATTGAAATGAACGGAGCTCTCCCTTCCGGAAGCATAAACATCGAGAAAGGCGTAAGCAGTCCCGTTGATGAGTTGTTCCCAGATAGCCCATAGTGGCAGAGCTAGAGCAGTTATTAATGCTTAAAGGCACGATGTCGCCGATACAGCTAAGGCTAAAGGTTGCTCATAAGCCGTGGCACGACGGGTCACCCAGCAACGATCGAGGCTATGCTTGCTTATTTAAAAGTTGAAAAACAGCAAGCAAAACGCAGGACGCCCAGGTTTTAGGCCCATTGGCGCCCGATAGGCCCATGCCGGCCTCCAGTGACCGTGTCATGTCGCAGGACTTTTTTTCAACTATCCACGAGTGGGGGAGTATTCAGATTGCGAGTAGGTAAAAGACGCAACAGTAGAGACAAAAAGACGACATTTGATTGTGCCGCTTTTCCTTTCTCAAAGCGCCCACACCCAAAAAGCCATTTTAGAACACGTTATCACCCGAACGCCACTCCGGCAGGATCTGGTGCTCCACCGCTAATTTGCCATCATAACGCGACCGCAAGCGTTTTCCAGTCGTTTCGTATCTAATTCTTCTTGTCAGAGCAAACAATTATAGTCGGAAAGGCGGACTGTGGTCATACCAGGATCCTTTTCTGGGGCGGGTTGTACTGGCACCGCCACTTCACACATCGCGATGCTGTACCCTGCGCCCAGACTGATTGCGACGATGTCAACTACTATGATAGTTGCTGGATCATCTACGTAATGGATCCCATACGACCAGTGAGCCCTTGGGCGAGGGTCGGTCCTACAAGCTTCACAATAGAAGCTCTGCCGAAAAGAGCGAACAGATTCGAGTCGCTGAAGCTGGGATGCGGATTTTTTGACGTTATAGGTGAGCAAATATGATACTGTGCCAGTTGATAAATACGACAATGTTATGTAATTACACGCGAGGCTGATCGCAGCAAAAGTCACGATGAATAAGGTCCCACGGTGTAAGATTGTCTTTTTATGATCAAGGCCAAATTTTTTCAACGAGATCCATTCTTACAATCAGAATAATTACGATATCCTGTGATTTTCGGGATATTTCAACTTCATGATGAAGATCATTTCAGAGTGGTCCCAGTGCAGGTCCAATCGGAGTGTCTTCTTTGGGAGACGTGGGTAACTCAATCATCCCCTCATCATCTGATCAAAGTGAGACATTGAGCACTAACAAGCATATCCCTATTACAAATTATATTGCTGGCATAAATGCTTCCTTGAACCCTTTTCAGCTGCTATGTGTCCAGTTGAGCTGCGATTTCTCTCGGATTTCATAGCTTGCATCCAGCCGCAACCTTTTGTGCCGAGTAACCAGGAATCGATGAGATGCAACTTCGAAGATGGCTCCTTCTGCAGGTTCGTACAACCGTAATTGCCTCAATCTACATGCAATGCGTTCACCTACACCTAGTGGCTGGATCGCCTCGTCAACAACCTGAAAAAGAGATCAGACCTCGTTTTAAACGGACCACTACCTGACTTGGTCTCTAGCTTACTTTTCGATTAAAAATTTACCCTGACTAATGAGCTCGCAAACCCTACATCCTTGGTCAATCAGGAGACACTGAATTTCCGCAGGAAGTTTCATTTATTGGCGATATGTTGTGGCTGACGATGGTGTACAGTGCTGGCTAAGAAACAGGGAAAATACAGGCAAATATTCTCCAAGTTCTCTCTTGTTGTAACCTCGGCATCGTTGTTAATTCTGTTTATATTGCTATGCCACTCGAGGTTTTAGGTGGAAATCTTTATTTTACGGCCTAACGTTTCGACTTGGTCGTCTTCTTCAGAGGCCTAAACGCGTTTCGAGGTTAGGAAATGAACACTACCTTACTAAGCGCCCAACCAACCCTAGCAGTTCCGATGGCGTGTTCGGAACTCAACCCAAAGGCCCCACAACACGAATAGTGCACTCACCAAGCTTCCACCGTATATCCGCAATCACATGCGGCTAGTAGTTAGTAGAGAATGAGACTTACTATAGCGTCTCCTGACACGTCTAGAAGTGAGGAGACGCACGTGCACTGCACTACTACTTAGAGCTCGCAATACGGTATGTATGGCAAAAGGTCATTCGTCACTGACGGACACCTTTTGCCATACATACCGTATTGCGAGCTCTAAGTAGCAGTGCTACGTGCGTCTCCTCACTTCTAGACGTGTCAGGAGATGCTATAGTAAGTCTCATTCTCTACTAACTACTAGCCGCATGTGATTGCGGATATACGGTGGAAGCTTGGTGAGTGCACTCTTCGTGTTGTGTGGGCCTTTGGGTTGAGTTCCGATCAC